GAAGGAAAGGCCTCTGCTGCACTCAGTCAGGTGGTGTCTGGCCTTTGTGCCAGCACTCGGGACACTGGTCACGTGAACCTTGAGCCCTACCCCCGAACCCGCAACTCTTGGGGGCCACTTTTGGCATGAAGCGATTGCAGTTTCTTGAGCTGTCTCTGCTTCATCGGAGCCTTCTTCAAGAACGTCCTTCTGCCGGCCTCGCCTGATGCAACATCCTTCTCTGAGGTCGCAGGGGTTCCCTTGTACTCTCCGACGCAGGCTTTCAAGGTGAAGAGTACTGAAGACTAAAGCTCTTGAATCCGCCTCCGGAGGCTCCACTGAAAGCTCAGCTCTCTCTCGTGTTGTCGAGGCAAAAAGGAGCGAGGCCGCGGGCTTCTCCTTGATCTGATCCTCCGTGCCTTTGTAAGAACCCAAAGGGGACTTTGCGCTGAGGGCGCAGCTGGGGGCCGCCTCGACTTCTGGGCTACTCAGGCGTTTGGGGCCATTTGAGATCATATTGCAAATGCCGCAACTTCTCTCTCTTCGGCCGTCCAGCTCATGCAAAGACGTGCAGCACTTTTCAGCTGCTGAGCATCAGCAGACTTTGCTCTCCCAGGACCGGACGAGGCACCAAGCCTCACGTGTCCATAGCAGCCGTACGGCGGTGACCATCTGCGAACTCGGTTCGTTTGGCACCATTCTGCAAGTTCCAGACAGTAAACCCTCAAACAACATGGCCCTGACGGTCTTGATGCCCGAGTTGCACGTCCTGACAAGTCTCTCTGACCTTGTGTTGCATCTACGAGCACCCTGCGTGTGCCGCTTGTCAACCGCTGTGCTCTTTCAGCGACGGTTTCGCAGCTTCAGCACCTTGCGGCCACGACGAGGAGGCTGTGTCTTGAAATCTTGTGATGCAGCTGCCACTTCTTACGGCTTCTAGCGTCGCTACTGGAGGGTCTAGTCGGATCGCGGCAAGTGGTCATTTTGGCTCGGCTTTTGAAGCGATGTCGGAGCAAAGGCATGTCTCAATTTGTAGCTTGTGGGGAAGCATACCGAAGCAGCTTCCGCGACAGATGTAGCATGTGAGCACCGGGAGAGCAAGCTAATCGAAGCTTTCTGCAACACCGATGGTGGGACTCCGAGTCTCCAAGCTGTGCAGTCGGATACACGCCTAGTCTCCAAGCTATCGATGGCCTTTCATGTCGGCATGCCCTTTGTCGTTCCGGGTTGCATGCAGCATACTCTAAGGCAGTAGCTTCAGCGAGTCTGCAATTTGTCACCAAGCTCGTGTTGCTTGGCTCGGCAACTGAACTGCCTCCTACGCGACTTTCAAGCTCTAGCATGGCATGCAGCAAGAGATTTCAGGCCTCGCGACTAGCAGTTCTGGGTGATGCTTGCGTGGAGCCTGACGCTGTTCTGATGGGCGAGCGCAGATGAAACTCCAATGGCATTTCTGCATAATCACTACCGCATCCATTCGGCAGAGCCGTCGGCAACCTAAACCTTGGATGTGGGGTGCCGTCCACGGTTTAGGAAAGCACTTCTTAGCAAGCAGCACCGGATGCAGCGCATCTTGATCCAGACCCTTCCTCCAAGAACCCGGGGCTCCGGCAGGGTGTGCTTTGCTGGCCTTTTCGCATTCTTGGTTTAGGGCTTTGAAGCCGCAGCCCTTAGACAGAAGGCCAGAGCCGTGTCGAGGGAAGACCATCCTGAATCTTGAGTCCGACACGCAAATCCGAAAAGCTAGTCAAATCCTAAGCCTGAGAGCTCTATAAGGACACTGACACGCTGAAGGCGTCTTGGTGCCCCTGAGGTTGAAGGATTTTGCTACAGGGTTTGGGCTTGCAGGATTTTGGCTCGAGTAAGTAAGGAGGAGGTTTTCGAGCGACACTCTTCGAGCGACCTCGGAGTGCTTGAGCTTTCTTTTGCATGTCAAGCTCCTCAGCCTTCCCCCGCACCTGCCTCTGAAACTCGCCTTGGCTTGCTTCAGAAGCCGAGGGTGTGGCTGCAGACCCCGAAGCTTCTGAAACGGGATGCTGGGAGCACTCACGGCGTAGTGCAGGGAGGCGATGCCCGGAGAGCCGGTGCTCGAGCCCTGGAAGCCAGGACCCTCAGCGCCCAGCCGGCCCAGCCCCTTTTGCCCCTTCCTCTTCTCAGCCTTCAACTTGAGGCGTCCCCGGGGCAGCGCAGGGAGGCGAAGAGACCTTCAAGTTGACGATCTTCGCGGCATGTGTCCGGAAGATCCCTAGGAAATTCCCAAAGTCCGAGGGTTAAGCCAGAAAGCCTTCTGTCTCTTCGCCTCTTGGCCCTTGGCTCTGGGAGCCCTAGGAGCCCTGCGGGCCCTGGGCTTCCGGGAAGCTCCGCATCTCCGTGGAGACGACGCGTCCCTCTGCTTTCGCATGGAAGCGCAGCCCGGGCCGTGGGGAGCTGATGGGCGCGGTAGCATCCGTTTCAATTCAAGGCCTATTTCTGGGGAGCTGAAGCCATGAGGACTCTTGAAGACTGCCGCGGCCGAGCCTCGGGAGATTTTGGCCAGACGCCGCCTTGGAGAGACGCGCCGCAGCCTAGCAGCCTAGCGGCCTAGCGGCCTAGCGAGCTGCCGGCTGCCTGCATCTGTCTGACGTCTCGGCGAAGGTGGCGAAGGGATGACTTCCTGAAGAGGGAAGCTCTGCATCTCCTGGAGTCCTGGAGAGGAAACTGCGAGGTTTGGAAGGGACGTCGCTGATTGCACCCGTCGGCCTGGCGGGTGCAGAACGCGGCATCGGCATGGCGCACTGCCGCGAAGTGGCTTCTTGCCGTGTGAGACCGGACCGAGAGGGGTGTGCTTGCAGCGTGCCGGGAGCGAGCTGCTTGCCCTCTCGGCTCTGCACGCTTGGCATTGAAGGAGTCGACAAAGCACCGAGCTTTCAACCAAGACTTGCTCTTACGACGTCTGCAGCCGTGCCTGTAGGCCCTCCTCTTGTCATGCACGTGTGGGCGAAGGCAAGGCTCCAACAGCGTCTGACGCAACTTGAAGGAGATGCTAAGGAACCCATGCCAAGATGACACCTGTCATGTCTCGGTCGTTAGTGGTGTGCTCCCAAGTTCTAGTCCGGCCTTGGAGAAGCACCGAAGCTGCCAGGTTTCGCAGAGAGAGCTGCTCGCTCCAGGACCAGGACGACGCGTGCTTCCACCCCGCAGCATCGTTTCGACTTCGGTGCCAGCGGGGCCTCTCCAGGGAGTTGCTGAGGAGAAGCTTTCTGGAAGGCCTTTGCCGCAGCTTTGAGGCCAAAAGCCGAAGCCCGAAGCCCCATGCGCCTGACATGGGCTTGGGCGGGTTTGGGGCTTTGAGATGCCTGGTAAAGCTGCCGGGGAGCCATGACGACGAGCATCCTCGAACATGCGGGACCTTCAACCTGAGCACAGACATCTGGCAAGATCTGGTGTCCCAATGCCGTGCTCTGCTGGGTTTCAGGTTCTCTTGGGTCGTGGACTTGTGCGTCCCAGCACCTCCAGACGGAGAGACACGGGGGGGCTCGAGGCTGGAGGCCCAAGGCAAGTCGCGACAGGACTTTTCCTGCCTTGAGCTTCGATGCCGGACATCAGGACGGGAAGCCTCCCTGCCTCCTTTTCCGAGGCCCAATGGCTTTTAGAAGCACCTTACCTATTCTTGCCCTTTGTGGGCCCAGTCATGAGCCTCGGAAGCTCAGAGTTCTCCGTGCAGCTGCTTTTGCCGCGGCTGCGGGACACGAGAGCTCTTCGTTGTCTTTTTTTGGAGGCCTCCGAGCCGCCCCGGCACATCGACGTCGTGCCTGCAAGTCACCGTCCCTGTGCGTTCGGAGACCGCCGCATCGGTTGAAGCCGATCCCTTCACCGCTGTGCTGAAGAACCCCTGGGCCAGATCTTAGCGGCAGCGCTTCGCCCGCAAGGCAAGGTGTGCTGCGCGTGGCCGCGGCCCTGAGCTCCCGCCCTGGGGGTCTCGTCGGGAACTCTGACGGCGGCGCCTTGAAGCAGCGCTTGAGGCCCAAGAGCTTTCGCAGGCTGCTTCGAGCCTCGTCCCGAAAGTCTGCACCCTTGAGCCTCGAAATGCCAGCAAGGAGAAGTCCTCAACCCACTGCGCCTCGGGCGGCGTAGCTGCCAGGCTGTCTTGGAAGCTTTAGGACTTTAGGAGCTTCCAGGGAGGGCTCGGAGAGGTGTCTCCTGAAGCCCAGAGCCTCCTACGAGTTCTGGAGCTTTGGGGTGTCATCTCTCATAGCTCCCGGCCTGGACGTTCCACTGGCGGCCCTCTTGCTCGGTTTTCCTGGAAGCGGCACCGTCAAAGTGAGCTCGAGCTTCAGAATCTTGAAAGTCCTCATTGAGGGCCCATAAACCCCTCAAATCCCCTAAACTCTAAACTCTAATACCCCAAGCCCTGAATCCCGATACCGCCGAGCTTTGAATCCCTAAACACAGGCGGAAGACTTCCTCTCCGGAGGCTGCAAGCGGCCGAAGCCCGACAAGACCTGAACGGTTTAAGGCTCGAGGAGTAGGGCCTGTAGGGCTTAGGCCCGGGTTTCGGGTTCAGGAGCCCTGAAATGCTTGGGCCTGGGCTTCCACTCGGAGCCCACCCGCGGCGCGGCAGCTTGCCAGACTTTCGTCGCGGAGATCTGATGAACACCGTGCTGGAACGGGGAGTCAGGGAGACATGAGAGTCATCACGCTGGAAGTATCACCGGCCCTGCCCGATTGCAGACTTCCTGACATCACAGCTTCAGGCCGGGTTGCCACGGGCCAAGTGAAGCTGGTCACTTCAATCCGGCTTCATCTGACAGGGCTGCTTCTGCACGGCTGCCCTTCAATAGATGTCGACGTGTGTAATTTTCGGAGACTTTTCTTCATCTCCCCTGCGCATCCGTGCCCACGGGAATACGCTCTCCTGCCTCTGATCCTCGCCTTCCTGCCGCTCTCCCTCGTCTGGGGCCGGGAGGTCTTCGCGACCAAGCACGAATGTGGGCTTTGACCAAGATAACGCTGTTGAAGATAGGCTTGGATGTCAGGAGGCCATGATCGGCCTCAGTGCAAGGCCCAGCCCAAAGTCCCGAAGCTGCATGAAGTGCTCCGTGATTTTGGCTCAGAAGCAAGGACGTTGCCGGTGCGATGGGCGAAGGGAAGATCACCATATTGATGCCGAGGAGGAGAAAGCTCTGGCAAGGAGGAACCTTGAGAATTTGGGTTGCCCCATGGCAGGACCACTCCGAGACTCCACACTCCAGGTCCTTAGCCAAAGTTTTGTGTCGCAGCATCGAGTAGCGACATTAGGCGCTTGGCGTGGCCTGCAAATCCTGAAGTCGCAAAGAGCCTCTGTGTTGTGAAGCAGTAAAGCCTCTTTCGGTGAGGGAGGGTTGATTGGTCGACGTTTCTTTTTCAGCTTCCTTCAGTCCACGTAGTCAGGGAGTAGTAAGGGAGTCAAGAGATGCCTAGGACGTGAAGCCGTGGCCAGGACTGTTTTCTGACTCGCATGCCGCCTCGGGTGGTCAGTGAACGGTCAACCACCGCAGCATCCATGTGAAACCGATTCCACGTCTCAGAAGCATGTGACGTCGAGTCGAGGGCGTCTGCGCATTGTACATGAAGAACATCTCCCGAATCGTCGTGAAGATCGCTGCAAGCACAGCACTGAGCCTGCAGCATGGGGTGATGTGAGTCGTGGGTGTCTGCTCGACTTAACACCTAGCAGACTGCTTAAAGAACGCCTCCGCAATGGCAGAAGCTCGCTTTGGCAGGGCAAGCGCATCTGATGCAAGCAGCCAGACCGCTGAATGTTGTCAAGAGCCCTTAACCCAGCTACTTCACCTACTGCATTAGCGACACCCATCGCTCAGGTCGTCTTCGCAACACGAAAGCCAAGGGCGGCGCACTGCCACCGTTTTTCCGCAGGCCTGAGGATATTCCTGTCGTGCGGCATGTGGGCACAGAGGGGTCGGTTCGTCCGAAATTGCAGATTCGGTTTGGCGATCCGGGGCGCATCTTGAGTGCAAAGGCTCTAAAGACTAGATTAGATTGATGAAAGGCCGGCACCAAGCCTATCTCATGATTGCAGGTGTGCACAGCCTTCTGGACAGCACCTGCAGTTTCAACCGGAATGATGAGTCCCATCTCCGTGATAGTATTCTCAGAAATCTCCTGCTGCTGCGAGGTACCCGACAAAAGTCGCAAAGGAGGTATCACCCCTTTGCTTAAAAAATGCAAGAGCTGGGAGTGTCTCCGCTTGCCTCTTGGTCCACACTTGCAGCCATTTTCACTTTCTTCTCCGTAGAGCACTCAAGGTTGAGGTAGCCTCCCTATCACCTACTCGCGCCCTTCGTCATGTCTGGTGCTGGCCCTTGACCATACGCCCGCCCAACAGGAGCCGTCGAGGGCCGCGTCATCTCTGTGCGTCGCGCGAGTTCAGATGTCGTGGCCCTCACGGGAGTTTAAGAAACCGGGTCGCCCCATATCGAAATCTTGGCCCTAAACCGCGAGGAGTAAAGTCCCGGACGTAACACCATATGGACCAATTAGTGTGCGCCCCGTGGTCCCCGCATCATCCCCAAGTCTCGTTAGAAAGATCCGAATTAGCAACCACGTTTGTGTTGTGCCGGGTAGGGTTCGATCGGTTGTTAAGAATCGTAGGAACTGACTAAGCCCTACGCCGCAAAACCGAAATAGTAGGATGCCGTAATTTTTAAAGGCTCAGAGGATCTCGGATGTCCTGACCGAAAGGATTGCCGTTGGGGCTGTCAGCCACAGCTTCGAAACGGCCTTGATGGCGGCAGCTTCCAAAAACTTCCAGGGACTTTGGGTTTAGGTCTAAGGCCTACGAATTGGCGGTTAGGGGTCCCCTGCCAGTTTGGGTTCAGAGCTTCTCTCTGAGGGGAAGGGCCCTGAAGACGTACAGCCCAACCTTTGCTAAATGCATCGCCTGGGCTCATTTGGCCAAGCCTGCTTGGGACTCTAAGACGCCTGGCAGTGGAAGCTTCCTTTTGGGGTTGGCAGAGTCAGAGGAGCGTGTAGTGCTGATTTGCCGAAATCCTTGCCGGCGGTGTGTTGATTGAGCAAAGCCCTCAAGTCGCCGGGTGCGGAGGCGGCGCTGACGGAACACGGGGCCTGCCATAGGAATTTGTGCGAAGCAGAGCAGGAGGGAATGGGATCTTGGCTTCGCTGCCGAGATGTTGTTTTTGCTGTGGTGCAGCTTGCAAGTGCGCCGTAAGGTAAAAGGGCCATAAGGCTTTCCTAATCATGCCTGCAAGTCAGCGGTTCTGAGCCCGTTTTTGTGCCGGCAGCTTCTGCCTGTGCTCTGCACAACTTGCGAGAGGCATTAGGGAAGGTACTTGTAGGCCCGTGCATCACTTTCCCGCAGAAGACCTCGCGTCTCCAAGCGCCAGCTTCATCTTGCACTGTTCCGACTCCCTCTGCCACCTGCGGCGAAGGCACCTGCACCCCAGCAGGCTCCTGGAGGCGGCGAGGCTCCGGCTTCCCCGACGCCGCGTGAGTTCCTGCTTGCAAGGCCCCAGCTGCTTCGGCGCCCGCCGTGAGCCTGGGAGCCTCAGTGCAGCCTAGGCCACAGCATTGGGCTCCGCCACTGGCATCGCAGGCGCCCCCAGCCTTGACCCCAACTCTTCTAGGCCTCTGCGCGTGTCGTCCGGCGCAGGGGGGCGTCCCTGAAAGTTTGGCCCGTCTGCTTGAACCGCTGTTTGGGGAGGTTGGTGTCTCCGCTTCGGCCGACTTGTTTTGCAATCTGCGCTGCGGAAAACTCCGCTTGGGATATGAATGTTTCGTTTCAAGAACTTTCATTTTAAGGTTCTAGCAAATCGTCAGTATGGCAGGGCTTTTGGAAGTCTTGTGTTATCTGCGCTAGAGGATGGTGGAGGTTTTGCTTTTCAGGGCCTTACCGGGCCTCTGGGTCGAGTTGAGTCCGACCTCAAGGCCTTGAGGGTATCGGAAGTATCGCATATAGAGGGTTCCTAGGCTTCCAAAGTCCCCAAAGAAGGCCGAGGTCTCTGGCTCAGAGTGCAGAGCTCACACAGATCTACAGGGCTTTGGGCCCCTGGGCCTCAAAGCACCCTGAAACATCTAAGCGGAGCTCCTAGCAGCCATGGTGGCAGAGGAGGGTTACGATGGCTTCCTGCGCGCCGAGCTGGACAGGCTCTTTGAGAGCCTCGTGAGGCAGCACCAGGCGGAGGCCGGACGCCAAGGAGTTTCGGGCTTTTTTGGGGGGGAGTAGAGGGTGCGTCTCGTTTTGGGGGCGGGGAGGCGGGTGCTGGGCTTTTGAGAGCCATGGCTTACCGGAAACCCCTCCCAAACCCTGAGCGGCAGTGGCCCCAACAAATCAAAATGCCCTCAAGAAGGTTTCTACAATGCCGAAACTCTCGATGTTCAACCGTATTGACATCAAGAAAACATCATAAATGCCCCAGGCCCCAAACCGTAGGACCCTTGTATGCCATCCGGACTTAAACCCTAAACCCTAAACCCCCAGCCCTGAACCCTAAACATGCCCTAAACCCTAAGCCTTCTAAAACCACCCCCCCAAGCGGGCCCAGGTGGACCAGGCACGACGTCCTCGGTTGGTTCCCGAGGGGTCGAAGAGTGTAGGCCTGGGCCACGCCGCCTCGGGCCGCTCGGGCGAAAGCTGCGAAAAATTTGGCTCTAGAAGGGTTCTAGACAGGCTCTCTGGGTTATGAGGGCCATAAGGGTTCTATAAGGGGCCCCAGAGACTTTGTAATCTCCACAAGCGGTAGTCACCGTTAATCGTAAATTTCAACGAATCTCGGTCGTCCTCCTGCAGAGGTTGGCTGAGCCTGGGCAGCGAAAGCGAAGCTGCAGGGCCGGAAACAGGCGAGAGGAGCTATGCGAGACCCTACCCGGATCCCGGAAACCTACATGAGGTTCTAGGCTTTCTTTTTATGATTTCCTTCCGTGGTTCCTTAAACAAAGTAGGTGTTTTGAAAGTTCAGGTGCACTCGAAGCCCGACAATGAAACGAGCCATCCAAAAAAGACGCTCTCAGAGAGGGTGCGGCTTTTAGTCCTTTTGGGGTCCAGGGCCATCGGCGGGATCTTGAGGGATGTTTTGTTTTTCTTTTGAGGGGGGGTGGGGAGGTTGGAGGGTCGCAGATTTCAACTTGGCGTTTCGGGTTTTGAGTCTGGGTTTCGTGTTTCCGTTGACACCGGAAGAACGGAGCCCAAAGTGAAGCAAGTCGAGAGTCCGCAGGTGCCAGCTGCACGTCCCTGCGCCTCGCAATGCACTTGGTAAGCTCAGACAATGGCTTTTGCTGCGGAGCGGAGTTTGCACTTAAGTTCCCCCTAGTCGGAAACCAGACGACAAAGGGTTCCTTTATTCTGTCAACTTGCATGAAGTTTCTTTACAGAAGCCCACGAGAGGGGTGCAAGGTTGGAACGTCGCGGTTTCACCACCCTTGTGTGGTTTCGCGGGAAAATCAGCTGACGTCATGATGGGGGTCAGGGTTTGGGGCTTGGGGTTGATGGCTTTCGGGGTTCTGAGTTCTTGATCCTAAAACCTGAAGCTGGAGCTTGGGTTTGCTGGCGGCCAGCGAGCATAGAACAAGGACCTCCTTCGCCAAGTCGGATGCGAGCAACGCGGCGATGCGCAATTGGGAAGCGCTCACGGAGAAGATGCTCACGAAGTTCCTGGGTTGTATCATTCAGAAAAGTCTTGAATCCTCAAGCTTTATCCCGTATCACCCTTCACCCTAACACCAAGCTCCAAACTCTAAGCCCCGGGCCTTAACGATCGGCTCGGTTGGTATTCCCCGAAGGAAATCCTAACTCCTAAACCCTATGCTCTAAACTCCACAATCCGAACCCCCCAACCCACACTCCTAAATCCGAAGCCCGAAATACCCGAGGTACCCCTTAAACCCCACAGTTTCCCAGACTTCCCCCGTAAAGTCCTAAAACCCGACACCCTAAAACCCT